CACTTTGCTCACTGGTTAGGGAGTTGTAAAGGACATGGCAGACACCCCAAGGAGGGTGTGAAGTCAAGGCTTGGTTGAGCCAGATGTCTAGCTTCTTGTTCCCTGACCCTTCTAGTATGTACCCTCTATTACCCCATCCACCGTGTTGAAGCAATCAGTTATTCTATTGTTCTCCACTAGACTTGCATTTAAGAGGGCAAGGATAATGTCCTCATGTTTTTATTCCTGGGCATAATGTAGAAATTCAATGTGTCATACTGAAATGTAAGATGGAGAAGTTCTGGCTGGTAAGATGATGGTTAATGGACAGGAAGGGATAAAGTATAGTTTCCCAAACCTAGTTGGCCCATCAACCTCTTTTCAGAAGAAATATTATTCAGTATCCTGCCCCCCCCCAGCAATGAAAAACTTTGGTACTATAGCCCATAATGCAGTATAAAGTATAGGTATCTGCATTTTCATCCCAGCACCTCTCAGAGAATGGTATTGCCCACTTTGGGAACACACAGGGCTGGCGCATTGTCATCCTCCTCCTTCTCATCTCTAACCTACAATCACATTGTATGTTTTTAGGCAAGACTGGTGGATTTCTGGAGGTATGTAGGATTAAGAGAAGAGTAGAGAGTTTGGGTCAATTTAGATAATTTTCCAGTGGACTCTTCAAAGCACACCCAAACCCATTACCATTGAGTCTGCTTCACCTCATCGTGACTCTAGGAAGTTGAACTTCCCTATAGATTTCCAAGGCTTTAAATCTTTACAGAAGCTGATGGTCTCATCTTTCTGGTGGGTTCGAACAGTCAATCTTTTGTTTAAAATCTTTTGTTTAAGCTGGGTGCTTAAACCACCAATCCATCAGGGCTCCTATTGGCTATTCAATACTTCATAATCTGAGACAGGTCCAGGAGACCAACGGTTGCATCCTCTTTCTTTGACTCCTTTTCAGCCAGCCCTCAGCCCTCTTAACATTTCTAAGCCAAAAGGGAAAGGCTCCAGTTTTCTGTCACAGATGACACAGACAAACCTGCATTATTAACTTTCTTCCAGGTAGGTAAGGCGTGTCATACAATGGCAGAATTCTCACCTGCCATGCTAGAAACCCAGAAACCGGAATTTGATTTCCAGCTACTGCAGCTCAACCCATCTGCAGGGTCGGATTACCCAGTAACCAAGGGAAGCACAGGTGTATGTGTGCTTGCCTCCTAATCGTCAGTGAATATTTCTACATTTGTTCACCACAACAAAGAGTCAGCTTCCAGATATGGTTAGCACCTGTCTCTTTCTCAACCCCACTCCTACAGATTCATAACCTTTTTCCAATTTGGAATCCCTGACAGAGACTGAGAGGAGTCCCAGTGGCATAGTGGGTTATGGGTTGGGTTGCTAATCACAAGGTCAACAGTTGGAAACCTACCAGCAGTCCTGAGGGAGAAAAGTGAAACTTTCTACTTCCATGAAGAGTTAGTCTTAGAACCCCAAAGGGGCAGTGCTGTTCCATCGTACAGGGTTGCAATGAGTCAAAAGCAATTCGATGGTAGTGAATTTGGTTTTTGTTTGTTTATTTGGGCGGGGACTGAATACTCAGTAAGCAAGGTAAGCACAGCTCAAGTAAACCCATGCTTACCTTGTGTGTTGGGTAATCCATTACTGTCCATTTGTTAGTGGAATCATAGTGTTGCTGTAATTTTGAAGAGGTCCCAGCGGCACTTCCAGTCCAAGATGAACTAGGAAGAAAGGTTTGGTGATCTACTTCTGAACAATCAACCAATGATGGAATGGTGACAACATGCTGGAGCCAAGTGCTCATATGCCTTGGCTCAAGGATGGAAGGTTACTCATCTGGATGGCAATGCCAATGGAACTACTCTGCTTGAAGCTCTGGATTGCATCCTGCCACTAACTTGCCCAACTGACAAACCCCTAAGGCTACTTCTCCAGGATGTCTACAAAATTGACAGTATTGGCACTGTCCCTGTGGGCATAGTGGAGGCTGGTGTTCTGAAACCTGGCATGATGGTCAACTTTGCTCCAGTCAATGTTACCACTGAAGTGAAATCTTTTTTTTCTTTTCTTTTTTAACATTTTATTAGGGGCTCATACAACTGTTATCCCAATCCATACACACATCAATTGTGTAAAGCGCATTTGTACATCGTTTCTCAAAACATTTTCTCTCCATTTAAACCCCCGACATTAGGTCCTCATTTTCCCCTCCCTCCCCGCTCCCCCCTCCCGCATGAGCCCTTGATAGTTTACAAATGGGTATTTTGTCATATCTTGCCCTGTCCGACTTCTCCCTTCATCCACTTTTCGGTTGTCCATCCCCCAGGGAGGAGGCCACACACAGTTCCATGCAATTGGTTCCCTCTTTCCTACCCACTCTCCCTCCACCCTCCCTGTTTTGCCACTCACACCACTGGTCCTATAGGGCTCATCCTTCCTGGATTCCCTGTATTTTCAGTTCCTATCTGTACCAGTGTACCTCCTCTGGTCTAGCCAGTCTTGCAAGATAGAATTCGAGTCATGGTAGTGGGAGCGGGGAGGAAACCTTTAGGAACTAGAGGAAGGTTGTATTTCTCATCATTGTTACATCGCACCCTGACTGGCTCATCTCCTCCCCGAGACCCCTCTGCAAGGGGATCTCCAGTGGCCTACTAATGGGCTTTGGATCTCCACTCCACACTCCCCCCATCATTCACTATGGTAAGATTTTTTGTTCTGATGATGCCTTATACCTGATCCCTTCGACACCTCGTGGTTGCATAGGCTGGTGTGCTTCTTCCATGTGGGCTGAAGTGAAATCTTTTGAAATGTACCAGGAAGCTTTTAGTGAAGCGCTGCCTGGGAACAATGTAGTCTTCAATGTCAAGAACATCTCTGTCAAAGATGTTCGTCATGGTAATATGGCAAAAAAGACCCACCAATAGAAGCAGCCAGCTTCACTGCTCAGGTGATCATCCTGAGTTACCCAGGTCAAATCAGTGTTGGATATACACCTGTGCTGGATTGTCATCCTGCCCACATTGCTTGCAAGTTTGCTGAGCTCAAAGGGAAGATTAATCATCCTTCTGATAAGAGGTTAGAAGATGACCCTACATTCTTGAAGCCTGCTGATGCTGCCATTATTGATGTGCTTCCTGGAAGCCCGCACGTGTGGAGCGCTTCTCTGACTATCCTCTTCTGGGTTGTTTTGTTGTTCTTGGTATGAAACATATAGTTACTGTGGGTGTCATCAAGGCAGTGACAAGAGGTTGCTGGAGTTGACAAGCTCATCAAGTCTGCTCAGAAGGCTCAGAAGACTAAATGAATATTACCCATAATACCTGTCACCCCAGTCTTAATCAGTGGTGGAAGAACGGTCTTTGAACTGTTTGTCTCAATTGACCATTTAAGTTTAATAGTAAAAGATTGTTGAATGATAAAAATGCATCATAAGACTTTCAGAATGAAAGGATTGTTTTGTGGGCTATATTTCTTTTTTTTTAAATGTGGAAGTTTTAAGTTAATTTTTAAAATTAGTACTTTGTAGATAGAAAACAAATTGATCCAAAATTTGTCACAGAATTTTGAGACCCATTAAAACCAAGTTTGATGAGAAAAAAAATGAGCCAATGAAAACCCTATGGGTCCCAACGGTCAGATCCCCAACGTTTCCTGGATATGCAGCAGGCCTGGGCAATGGTTGTGTTCCTCCGGTTGTGGACCAGGTTGCTGTGAACGGAGCAGGTAACACCAGGTGTGGAAGCTTGTGATTAGCCGGCACAGCTGGGAGTCACAGCTCAAATAGGATTATGGTATAGGGGTTAGAAACCAAATCAAAACCAATCAACCAACAGAAAAAAAACCAAACAAGGAACTCATGGCTATCCAGTCGATTCCGAATCAGGACGATCCTGTAAGGACAGGGTAAATAATTGCCTCTGTGAGTTTCCTATAATTGTTTATAGGAGTATAAAACTCGTCTTTCTCCCGCGGAGCGGATGGTGGTTTCTAACTGTAGACCTTATGGATCACTGTCAGTATAACACCAACCGGGGCTCTAAGGGGTAGAAAGGGGCAGTAAATCACATCTGAGACACTAACTCTTTATGGGAGTAGAAAGCCTTGTCTTTCTCCCACTGAGAGGTTAGTGGTTTTGAACTGCTGACCTTGCAGTTAGCACCCAAGTGTGTAACCACTACACCACCAGGGCTAGTAAATCACATCTGGATTGAGGGTCAGGACACAAGTTTATCCCTCGCGCTGACATTAACTAGCTACGTGAATGCTAGCTTCCCAGCTCACTTTTTGCTCTGTAAAACGAAGACACTTGAGTTACATAGCCAAGGTTTCTGCCATCTCGCATTTTTGCTATTTCGAGAGGAAAGGAATGGGGCGGAAGACGCGGACGTAGTTGGGATGCGGCAGACACACCCACCAGAAGCCAATTAGAACTCGCAGACCGGGAAAGCGAAGGTGGGTGAAGTGAGGCCAAGAACGAAGACAGATCTCGGGATGGCGGGAGCTCAGCACTATCTGGAATGAGTGATCCCTCGAGAGGCTTGGTTTCGGCTCAAGCGACTTTTGAATGGGTGTAAACCCTGGGAGTCGCGCGGCCAGCTCAGGCTCTCAAAAAGAACCCCGCCCCCTCCCCCGCAAATCGTAGTTTTTCTCCCCATAATGCCTAGCAGTCGGCCAAGCAGCACACTGCAACCGAACCTGACCAAACTCCACCTCTCCAACCGCCCAGCACAATTTCTCATTTTTCATTGGCTTTTAAAACTGTCAGTCCGAGAGTACTGGTTTTCGTTGGCTGTCCCCTACCTACTCTTTTCGTTTCCTTGTAATCTCGCCTCTTTGAGAACGTCCCGCCTCCTGAAGCCTGTCTCCTTTCTCCTATTGGGTGAATGGAATGCCATTTTTCATGGCACAAAGCCATGATTGGCTGTGCCCGTCAGGGCTCGCGCAGTTACCAGGCAGCGGGCTAGACTGAGGCTGGTTACCACGTCAGTGAGCTGACAGGGAAGGCAGCCGGTTCCACCGCCCGTCCCGGCCGGCTCGTTCCGGCTGTCTCTGCGATCCCACCCTGCCATCAGCCTCAACTTGCAGGAAGCGTGCTGCTTCCCTTCGCCCACCTGCCAGCCCAGCCGGGAGAGCCGCTCGGAGACGCCTCAGGTGCTCAGGCTGGACATGAGCAGCAGCTGCCGGTCCTGGGACTAGGCCCCGCCATTTTGGATCCGCTGACAGGTCAGCGAAGTCTCTCTCCAGAGTTCCAGTGCGGCGAAGGCCGGTTTGAGATGGCCGTAGGGATTACGAGGGGAAGATTCTTGAGCTGGGCGACCTCGGGTGGGTGTAGGGCTCTGAGGCCAGGTGTAAGACGAGGGGGAGGGATTGTTGTGGAAGGGAACTTGGAGGCGTGGAGGGGGCAAAGGTCAGGCCCCTGCCCCCGGAGAGGCGAGTCCACTCAGAATTCAGATCCCCGGCGGGGCCCCGAAACCTGCGTTGCAGGGTTCACTGACCTTTCTCTGAGCCCCTCTCCTCCGAAGCTTTCTGTGCCTTGAAAACACCGGTCCCCCAAAGCTGAGCCCAAACCTAAGCCGCCTGGTAACTAGACTTGGCAGATTCTGTCCAACATCGCGTTCTGGGGGAAGGACGTTGAACCGAGTGCTCCCTACGCTCAGGTAGTGCGGAGGGCTGAGGCCAGCCGCTGGAGGGGAAGGCCCTCCTCTGATAGGGCAGCTCAGCATGTAAACACTGGACTTCGGAGCCTCTTCCTGTAGCCAATCGCTTGCAGATACCGCTGAGGTGGGGGGGGGGGAGCTATTTTGGTTGACGAACACCCCAGGACCCCCTTCCACCCGCCCACCCCCCACTCGCGACTTTCGCTTCCCCTGGCCTAAAGAGAGGAGGTTTAATCTCAAGGAAGCTGTTCCGTTACATTTGGCTGGAGAGCGGGGAAAGATTTGGTATTCTGGCTTATTGTTCTGAGGGGGTGGAAAAGCGGCATGAGAGATGCCATGGGGCAATTTAAAAGTAGTAGGGTCAGGCCTCAGGTGAATGATGGGATTAGGACCCCAAAGAGTGTACCGCAGGTGGCCCTGTGATGACCTTTGAGTTGTAAAGGTGCCCAGATCCTCCTAAGGGTAGCGTGCTTTTAGCAGTGAGAAATAGTATAGGTCGTGGTTTTGAGTGCACAACTTAGAGACTTGTATGCTTTGAATGACTGCAGGCACGTAAGACACTACTACTCCAGGCCCCGTGGAAGACGCAAACAGGGATGTCTGTTTGGGAATCATTCTGCTCAGTGTATGCAGTTCTTAAAAGTGGGAGCATGCATGATTTGGGCACTTTAAAAAGTTTGTGGAAAAATGCCATTATCTTTTCATTGTAAATCATGATCTTTTCCTGCCAAACTTTTTGAAGCTCCTTGTAGGTTTAGTGACCTAGTTTGAGCATGGCATTGGGCTAAATGCAGGCTCAACCTAACCCCCTTTAGGCATGGTGTACTTGGGATTAGTTCTCATGTGTGATCAGAACTTGTGGCCTACTTCTGGCCCTGGCAGTCAGGAACACTGTGCACTTTTGCAAGATGAGGTAGTAATAAGAAGGATAAAAACCTGCTAGTGTCAACAGAGGAAACTTTTCTAGGATTTCAGAGTGCCTGGATTCAGTTTCTTGCAACTTAAATGCCTCTGCCCTTCTCAAATTGTGTGGGAGGGAAGGATAGTGCTTATTATTTACATTTATTGCTTTAAAGTAAATGGATTGGAAATGGTATAGGAAATTAATTTCATTTTAACTCATTGATTCAAGTTGCAGAATTGCCCAAAAAGTAGTTGAAAGTGGTGAGCCAAGTGACATAGCCAGACCAGGAAGTTCTTAGGGTTGTTGGACTTGCCATGCCCACCTTGCTTTGTTGAGTTGAGTTGATGTTTTGCCAAATAGACAACTTAATCTTTGGGTGGATAACTTTATTTAGTCAGCTTCTTCTCCAGCGGACCTAGGGGGTGACAATGGGAGCATAGCATTTAAAAATTATTATTATAACATCATTTTCTAGATAGAAATAATTCTTCATCCCCACTTCAGTCCCAAGTCAGAAAATGTGTCTGTTCTCCAAGACTTGTAGTTGAACTTTTTAATGGTGACTGTAGACAGACAGCACCTTCCAATCTTGATAGGGGTATGCTCATTGCCACAGGGCAAACTCAGGTTGTAGACACAGCTACTCATGAGTAGCTGGACACTAATCTCAATTTCAGGTCACTACTCTTTTATTTCCCTGTGTTCCAGAAGACAGGATGACTGCCACTTTTAGGTATTACCTACATTGATATGCTACTTTGAATACTGTGGACAGCTAGGAAGAAAGAAGACACAGCTTCTGCTGTATTTAGAGAGCACTGTCCAGAAGGTGCACCCTAAGCTCTGTATGCCACTTCTAACCGATCGATCACCCTGAATCCCCGAGTTTCAGTGTGACTGATGGGAAAGACTCTCCTGTGGGGGGCCGGGGGGTGGGGGGCAGAGGGCGTCTGTGTAAATGTAATTGGCTTCCGTTCATGTATTTCAGCATTCTCAATTGCAGATGTTTAAGGCAAGAACATAGAATACTGTAGTGTGCTGGTTTGGAGCCCCTATAGTAGTGGAAGTGATTGGGGAAGTAATGATTTTGTTGCATTAATGTAAACTATGTGTTACAAACTCAAAAGCCTCTTAAATATCAGGCAAGTAATGTAAATGAATGAAATGGGCCAGGTAGAAATGCCTTAGAATCTAGTGGGGCCTGTCGTAAACTACAAGACCTGTGCTCTTACTTAAAGGAGGCCCATTGTCATTGTTTGGGAATGTAGGCCTGGCTGCTAATAAGTGTTGCTGTTTTCTCAGGAAAACTTGGAAATACAGATCATTGTGTTTTTAACTGTTGCTAACTAGCTTTAAAATCTATCTATCTATCTATCTATCTATCTATCTATCTATCTATCTATCTATCTATATATATATACTCATATTTGTGTATATATACACCTTTCACAGGTCAAGCACAATGTGTCTGTTGACTGAATGCTCCCAGAGAGCCATTGGATAGTGACCTCTGATTTACACAGATGAACAGGCCTTATGAGAAATAGTCACTATAATTGTCCATATAAAATCACATAGGAGAGCTTTTTTCCTTTACCTTATTCTGACAACTGTTGCCATTTTACCTTAGGTGCTACGAGTATCAATTAAAACATGAGTTGATAGAAGGCCTGCTTACTTTTTCATCTCCAACATGGCAGGAGAGATCATTTTGGATATTCGTCAGTGCCTCACCTTGTATGAGGGAGGGGGCTTCAAAAAATTCAATGAAAAATGGAATTAAAAGATAATGAAAAATGTCCAGGAATGTTTTGAAGCCCTATCTATGTGGCTCTTGGAATAGTCTCAAAATCTCATAGAGGGAGGAGGTGACCTGGAAGGGCTGGAGGTACATTGGTCAGTCACCTGATTATCAGGTTTGGGAGGATTTTCTAGCTCGACCCTGCCAAGGCAGGGTTTTTTGTGCCTATAAGAATCGAGTGCCTATAAGCCTCGGAATGGCCGGATAAGGGGCATGCATCATCCCGGTACTGCCACTCTCAGAAAAACTAGGTTTTTTCCTAGTTTGATTTCTCTTCCACCTTTTGAGTAAATTTTTTGAGCTCAGTAACTTGTTTACGAGTTCAGTAATTCTAAGTCCCTCTCAAAACAAAACAACACCATACACACACACACAACTATGCTGTGTTCCTTGATTAGTTCTGGAAAGCGCTACAGCTTTAATGCTTCTCTGGGTCATTCAAAGAATCGAGTGCCTATAAGCCTCTGAATGGCCGGATAAGGGGCATGCATCATCCCGGTACTGCCACTCTCTCTCAGAAAGCCCATCAGAATTTTTTTGGCGTGTATAGCTGTACAGGGCACTATAAAAAAGGAAGAAAAAGCTGAGTCCTTGCCTTTGTAGAACTTACTTTCTCCAAAGAATAAGATAAAAATCCCCCCCACGCCACCCCCAAAAAGCCCAACTCAGTGCTATTGAGTCAATTCCCACTCATAGCCTATGGAACTGCCCCTTTGGGATCTTAATGGGAGTAGAAAGCCTTGTCTTTCTCTCACGTGGGGAGACTTCAGGAAGATAGATTGAAAAATGGAAGCCGTATAATTTGACTGGTGGGTAAATGTGGGCTGTTTTTGTCTACAGGGTGGCATGTGTGGGAAATAGAAGATTTGCCTGCCTGGCTCAGTCATTGTCTTATGTAAAGTCACTGTGGTAGATGTGGGTACGAATTATACCACTATTGAAGAGGCTGTGCTGATGTTAAGATGAATTTAGTCATACTTACCTGGCAGGGGAGATACTATGATCACGAAGGTGGTTTTCCCAGGGCGAGGCTTATCCATTGCACTCCGGATGTGCTGATCCCTGTGATTTCCCCAAATGTGGGAAACTCGACTGCATAATTTGTGGTAGTGGGGGACTGTGTTCCTGCTCTTTCCCCACCCTCAAAAAAGATGAATTTAGTCATTTATTAAGAATTTATTGATTCCCTCCCCCCGCTGCTTCCACCTTACAAGTATTGGGCATTGAGTGTCTCTTTTTTTGACATGCTCATAAACTCCTGGGGAGAGAGACTAAGTAAATAAAAATCAGTATCATTTGTATTTAAATACATCTATGTACCAAGAAAAAGAAGTCCTGGTGTCATATTGGTTACGTGTTGAACTGCTAATCTCAAGGTAAGCAGTTCAAAACCACTAGCTGCTCTGTGAGATAAAGACAAAGCTCTCTACTTCCATAGATAATTAGTCTCAGAAACACATAGGGGCAGTTCTAATCTGCCCTATAGGGTCACTAGGAGTCAGAATCGACTTGATGGTAGTGAGTTTTGGGTTTATGTACCAAGTGTGGAGGGGTACCAAAAAAAGAGGTTCTAGTGCTCTCCGGGGATTGGGGATGTGGATTAACCAGGGTGGACTTCACAGAGCAGAAATAATAACAGTTAACATTTCTTAGATTTTATTGTGCCAGGTGCTGTGCTAGATGCTTTACAGGTCTTTTATTTTGGCCTCACAACAAAGCTATGAGGAGATATTAGAATCTCCATTTTACAATGCAGAACTGTGTAAACTGAGGCTCAGGGAAGCTAGGAAACTACTAGGGTAAGATTCACATAGGTAACAGGACTGAAACTTGAGTCTGTCTTGACTCCGAGGCATGTGCT